CTTGACCACATCGGGCGGGTCGACGCCAATATTCAGGCAGATGGCTAGCGCCGCGGAGACGGTTTTCAGGCGGTCCTTCATGCGCCAGTCTTGGCTGGGCCAGCTTCCGACCGGATCCCTAGGGATGCCGTTCGTCTCGTGGCGCTTCTCTGTGAAATACATATAGAAATTCTAGAGCAGTCAGATCCGACCGGATTGTAAGCCTTAGCTATCCGTTGCATCTGCTTACCGAGTGCAGGACTTTCAGGTACTCGCTCGAAGTATACTCCTCCTGCCATCCATGTCTCATGGCAATGTCCTCTTCCTCATCCCCAGCAATGGCTTTATCAAGCCCCACTCTGGGCCCATAGTCGCTGCGGGCCCTCTTCAGGGTCGCAATCGGTCTTGCAGAATCCGACGATCGATCCGAAGTCAGTCGGCCGTTGTTCTCGATGATCAGCGGGTTCTCGCCTGCAGATGAGCTAGTCGGTCGTTCGGGGGTGATGACGGGAGTCTGTTTGTGCTCCACGGTAGTAAATGATCGGTGATGTCCTGGAACAGGAGCGGGGGATCTGTCACGCGGGGGAATGTGTGTTTCTAGATCCGGACCAAAAGCAACTCGAACAGACTTGTGATGACTCTTCCGAGGTTCGGGATGCGATGCCTGTTGAATTGTGGGCTCCATTCTGAATTCTGGTCAATGAGGGTCTGTTATACATCGAAGGTCATCATGTAGCGTGAAGTAACGAGGACGAAGCTGGCCGGGACCTGAACATGCGGAGAAGTTAGCATATAGTCAGGGTTGATGGAGAATCTCACATGCGGGGAGTTGGCGTTGCCCAGGCGTCGACTGTAGGGCAGATGCGCGGGTGAATATGTTCTCACCTTATCAATACTCATGTCACAGTGCATGCACTGGGGACCAGGCGATTCTCATACCCAATCCGGAGGGTCAGCAGTCAGCAGCCAGCAGTTGGGAGGACGCCCTGTGGCGAGGAAGCTCTGCCACGTTCAGGAAATCCAAAAGAACTCAAACACCAGGCGATTCGGTCTCCCCAGGACGTTGAAACTGCTGACACTCCCTTCCAAAGACGCGGGGGGACTTGGTTGATGATGTTGGTTCGGCGAGAACCATGAGCTCTGGCCGGGATCCTCTTGGCATGGCCTGGACGGAACATCGTTGTCCCCGGAGCATATCCAAGAACGCCTGCGCTTAACTGGATTAGGCAGCTCCCATGGATGACGATATTTCTACCGAGGCGGTGGTTGGTTTTCTTTTTACGGTGGAGGAGGTATTGGAAATATTTGTGTTTTCCTTTCCCTTCAAAACCATGTATTTTCACATTCATTCTTCATTGTTCTTGGTACCTGGAAGCTTACACTACAGAGTTCACAAGTCACATGCCTTAGCAGCTTGACTAAGCGTACCCAGCTCTATGCATGGATAAGAACTCCGGTGTTCATACGTACCTAAATCGGACTAGATCAGTATCATTTTAACTACTCCATCCACTACCCACCCAAGCTATAATTAAATTAGGAGTTCAGGAGAGGCATTGACACGGTTCACACTCTATCAAAACGTTGTGATTCATATGCTTCTTCCCAAATACAATCTTGAGGATACAACTGGATACATCAAGACATACACGGACATCAGAAATGAATTCTAAAAAGTGGCGAAGAGAAAAAGTGCTATGCTCTACTAGTTAGTAATTGCGCTTTTTGTCTTCCCCCACTACTAGTATATACTTCGTACACAGTAGCAATATATTTTCACGACCCTGCTACAGTGGTGGTAAGGAGGCGTGGGGGAGAGAACAGAGACAAGGGACCAAGACGGGTAGGCTTAACGGCGATCGGAGGGCCGTCAGATCATGTTTCGTTTCAGTCGCTCTTCTGTGTGAAACAGTCTGCCCATGTCTGTCGGTATGCCAATACTATGTAAGAGGGTAGACTGGATGCACCCTTCCGACCGAGAAGTTCTGAATAACGACTAGGTATGTTCGGAAGGACGCAGCTTCATTTCAGCCGACCTTCTTTGCACCCCCAAATGCGCTCTAATTAAAGTGGTAAGAACGGGGCTACTGCAAGCCCTGCAGGCTGGGTCATGTTCACCCATGGGTATGAACCAACCTCATTGGTGGTGAAGTTAGGGTACCCGATACGGGTGATGGCTTCTGAGTGGCTTGCAAAAGATGAAGGGGAAAAGAAAGGCAGCACACCATCACGGGACATCTGAAAAAGCACTAAACAAAACCGTCAGCGCCCAGATCACGATGCGCCACTGCCGCCCTGAAAGAAACCAATTGAGAGATGGGAGCATTGCAAATTACGACAGGAAGGGTAGTGGCATCCTGCTACGTAGTACTGACAGGTACCAGTTAGCTAGTAACTATCTAGTAGTCAGTACTTTCTGCGTCCCTTACTAGAGACTTACTAAATAGCAGGTTTGAAAGGGGGGGCCAGCCATTCAGCGCCCCATGCCCAGTGGCCTGAGAATCATATCTCTGGCGGTTCCCATGGTCCCAGTGGTTACTGGAAAAAGCCACTAAACCACACAGGGTATGTAGATATCGATCGAACCGACCGTTGTCTGGAATCCAGAAATTAGTTCGCCTGTCGTGGGAATGATGGGCCAGATAATGCGGACCAAGCCCCTTTTGCCGGGACCAATGTGATCTCTGCTTGTCCCTAGTGGTTCTCTTTTCCCTTACCCCCCTTAGAAATTGGGACGGTTCAACCCCTGGTTCCGCCCTGCTCAATCTCGTGGTTTTTCGTTTTCTGGCAGCGTCCCGAGCTATTTTGTATGAGAGGAGCCTCGCTACGGGCGGAGCTAACTGTAAGTCTGTAAGCCTGGCCCTCCCCCAGCGCTAACCCATCCGGACTTTACACCGTATTTCCCCAGCCAGTCAGCTTCGCTAGGTAGTCTACCGTTGATCAACTGCCCTCCAGAATTAGAAAGTGGAGGAGTTTGAACCGACCTGGTTCATAATCCCTGAATAATGCCTGTCGCCAATCAAACCGACACATTCGACTTTTACCATGATGCTTGCTTCTTTTTCTCCAACGGAAGCTCACCTATCCGAATCGTCGCAGTGCTTTGTAGACAAATATACCTCGTTTTGCGAACTGCTGGCTACTATAGCCACACTGTGACGTAGCCAGTGCCATGCCGACTATGATGACCCCGGTTTGTTTGCTTTGCAACGATTTCAGCTCTAGTCGGGAGCTGCTCATAACAAAGGGATGGGACTACGGAATCGTTGCTATCTGCATACTAAATAAAGTCCATGTCCCTCGCGCATCTTCCAGTCTTTAACCTGACCTTATGTCTGCTTGTCTGGGACACGGAGCCGCCCTCTGTCTGATGCTAAATGGGGCATCTATGTCCGGCTGATGCCGGATGTCTGGGCCCAGAGACCAAAGGTATATGGAGTATATGGAGCCATGAGATACTAGCAAGCTTTGTGATGGCTGGTCAGGCCATAGCGTAGAGCGGTATTCTTCTCCAAAAATGCGCCGCCCGCAAGACAGGTGGGTGTTGCTACTGTCCGTAATGTACTTTGAAATAAGTATGTCTTGTTCCTGCATCGAAGATAGCCCTGAATCAGCAAGGGATGTTTAGATCGTGGCCAATGTGATATCATCGTCGGACTAATCATAATTTAAGAAACTTCTTCGGCGGTACTCCGTACATTGCCCAGCCGATGAGTTTTGTTTGCCAGGTGGAATGTTCGGGGTGTCGATGATGTGGCTCGGGAGCCACAAGGGAACCAACCAACCTCTCGCGGTGGTTCCTGCATGACCAGTGGCTCAACCCACATCCACTCACATTGTATTATTGCAATTACTGGCTCGCAATGGAGGATACCTGTTTCCCTCCTCAAGATGACCGAGTCTGTGTAGACACCCCTGCATTTCACATCTCCTCTATCGTTCATGCATCGAGGAATAAGCAGATAACTGGGTGCGATGTGGAGCGACAAGCTGAGTGGACCAACGACAGACACATGTCGGCAGTTGCGAATTGCATTGCTTATTCTGAAGGCCGATCGACCGAACTCTGGTTGTTAGCCAGATTAATAAGATCCTGACAGAAGATTCATCGGGATTTGATGGAAATCCACCCATAAGACAAGGAGATTGAGAATCACAAGTTAATTGTATCTAGCTGTCTGTGCCTTTCAGTAGCAGAATGAGGTTTGAAATGGACGGGGGAGGTTGTAAGGTGGTTCGGGGAGGGTGGGAGGAGGTGGGAATGTAACTAAGAAAGAGTTGAGGTATGGGAGGGTGGATGTACCAACACCACTGTCTGGGGAATGGAAACGCCTCGTGGGAGGATGGATTGACCTTTATTTACTTTTTCTTCTTTCTTCTTTGGGGTGTGTTGACAGGGAGGGAAATGAGATTAACTTTCCCGCAAGACGGAAAAGTAAGCAAGTAAGAAGCTGCCTTGGAGAACGGCGATGAGGCGGTGTCGCCCTGGCAGGTCCGCATCCCCATCCGTCTTTTCGCTCTTCTTCTGCCTTCTCCCCCCCCCCTAAACTAAGACTAATTGCTGCCAAAAGCCCAGTGGATAATTATCTAATGCTGGCTGGCCAGAAAGTGTGAAACGCCGGAGTCTTTCACTCTTCTCGTCTCCCTCTCCTCTCCTCTCTTCCTCCAATTCTCCAAGTCCAGAGCCCCAACTTGCTCGCGCACCCTTCATCCTTTTACTTTCTTTCCTTGTTGATGTTCTTCTCGTCTTTGGGTGCTCTGTTGTCCACTTTTCCGTCGGCCTTCTTTGCTTGTCCTTAGTCGCAGTCGTTCCGTTCCGTTTGCTGTTATCCACCCCTGTCTGTTTTCTTGTGATTTTCTATATTCCACCCCTCTCCATGCTCTGTCAGTGTCGCCATCAGATTTCAATGAGGCTTTTTCGGAATTAAGAAAAAGGACAGAACAACACTCTCAGTCTCCGAATCGATACGTTGAGCGGCTTCAAGAGAAGGGTCGATTTGAATGGGGTGCCTTTAGCTGCTCTTTCTAGCATCGTCAGGAACGAACGCCGGTCTCTACTGTTGTTTCTCTGCTTTCGACTCCGAATTCAATTCTCCCCGCCGTTCGCTCCTTCATAACGTTCAACAAGCCGGCGCTCTTGAGCGATCCTCTTGCCGGTCTTTAGTGGGATCTCTTGTTTTGATCTATAATATACCCATCGCATTGCAATTGGAACTCTGTTGGTACAGGTGACCTGGTGCAGCTGGTGGACTCCCCCAGTTCCCTATTACACTTCCGCCGTTGCTCCGCTGCTTTGTACTTGAGACGACCGTTTACGACTCAATCTTAACGATGGCATTCCTCTTTAAATCAAAGAAACACCAGCAGGGTTCTGGCCTACCCCCCGCGTCAAGAAACGTCCAATCTTCAGAAGGGCCGCCGGCAAACCCAAGCCCAAACCCATCAGCGGCTGCGCAGCCCAGCGGCGCCAAAGAACGGGATGGATCACATTCCCAGACCCCGACGCCCAGCAGTAGCTACAATAATTCTTTGAACTCGTTGAACGGCACGAACAGCCCCGATCACCCGCGGATGCGCCAGAGAGCCGAATCCGAATCGCAGGTTGGTTTCCCAGATCTTCTCACTCAGTGACACTCAACATTGTGTGTCCTGTTCTGCTTGTGATGAGTGCTACTCATTTTCCGAGCCTTGGCTGATCATACGCAGAGCCAACGACCACAACAGGCGGCGCCAAGTAACTCCCCGAACGGTAGCCCAGGTGCATCATTGTATCCATGGTCGCAACGACGCGTGAACTTCACTTCCGCCCAGACAAATCCATTCCCTCGTTATGGAGCAGCAATCAATGCGGTGGCATCGAAGGAGGGCGACATCTATATGATGGGTGGCCTAATAGATGGATCAACTGTCAAGGGAGATTTGTGGATGATGGAAAACAGCGGCGGTAACTTGTCCTGTTTCCCGATCGCTACTGTCTCTGAAGGGCCAGGCCCGCGAGTCGGCCATGCCAGCCTGCTGGTTGGTAACGCTTTCATCGTATTTGGAGGCGATACTAAGGTGGATGAAACCGACACCTTGGATGACACGCTCTATCTCTTGAACACATGTACGTATGCATGCAATAGTCTCATTCACTTGAGACACTTTTCGGGTGTTCATATTCTAACATGTCTGGGTTGCAGCTTCTCGTCAATGGTCCAGATCGATACCCCCAGGTCCTCGACCTGCTGGGCGTTACGGCCACACTCTCAACATCCTTGGCTCTAGACTTTATGTTTTTGGTGGACAGGTCGAAGGCTATTTCTTCAACGACTTGGTTTGTTTCGACTTGAACCAGCTTCAGAATCCGGGGAACAAGTGGGAATTCCTTATTCGGAATAGCCACGAAGGTGGCCCTCCGCCCGGTCAAATTCCGCCCGCCAGAACCAACCATACAATAGTGAGCTTCAACGACAAACTGTATCTGTAAGTGTCTATACTTCGTCTACACCCTCTTTGCCCTCTGATCCATGCGCTCGATTTCTGACCCTGCTCCAGGTTTGGAGGAACGAATGGCTTGCAATGGTTCAATGATGTCTGGTCTTATGACCCTCGTGCAAACACCTGGACTCAGTTGGATTGCGTCGGCTTCATCCCAACACCTCGTGAAGGGCACGCTGCGGCTCTTGTCAACGACGTTATGTACATTTTTGGAGGACGAACCGACGAAGGTATTGACCTCGGGGATTTGGCCGCATTCCGCATCTCCACGCGACGATGGTATTCTTTCCAAAACATGGGGCCTGCGCCTTCTCCAAGGTCTGGTCATAGCATGACCGCCTTTGGAAAGCAAATCATTGTTCTGGCGGGTGAGCCGAGCTCTGCGCCGAGGGATCCTGTCGAACTCAGCATGGCATATATCCTAGATACCGCCAAGATTCGCTACCCAGCTGAGAACCAATCTGGTGAAAGAGCTCCTATTCAAGCGATGCGGAAGATGAGTGGAGACCGTGCAATGCAACCGACGGGTCGGACATCGCGGGAATCTCAGAACCAACCTGACGCTCAACGACGTGGACCACCCCCCCAGTCACGGGAGAGCATTATGACCAGCCCTACTGGTAGACCAGCGGACCTTGGTCCTAGTCCAGGGCCAGGATCCCGACTGCCCAGAGCGTCAATAGCGCAAGCCCCCGCGGGGCCTCCTCCCCCGGGACAGGCCCCTACACCTGGTCAAAGAGGCAACACTCCTCAGAATGCCATGAATCCCCGAAGCAAGACGCCCACGAAGACGGATCGTTCTTATGGAGGCCCGCCTGTGGATACCGCTCGAGCCATGGGACCCGACAGGGATAGAGAATCACCAGCTGCCAGGGACTCGCCAAAAGAAGCCCGACCGGCGCAAGACTCGAGTGCCGCATCGGGCGGTCGCCGTACGCCAACCCAGCAGCCATCAAGAATGTCTGCCAAGGCTATGGAAGCTGGTGAGGCTGCACCCCTTATAAGTGCGCCAACTAGACAACGGTCTTTGCGCCAGCACCGGCAACGCAGTTCTATGGACAGTGCCGACGAATCCATCCTTGGTAAACATGCTAGTATCGATGGTTCAACGGAGTCGAGGAGTTACAGAAATTCAAGATCTGGAGATGAACCACGGTCGCCCAGACTGACGCCCCACCAGGAAGCGCTAATCAAAGAGCTGGAAGCGGTGAAAAGCCGTAATGCATGGTATGCTTCCGAACTTGCCTTGGCTAAGAAGGCCGGGTATGCACCCAACCCGGCCAATAGCGTTGGTGTGGATGAGCGTGCCGCAGATGCATTTGCGGATGAGGATCGCCCGTTGATCGAAGCATTCCTTGCCATGAGAGCAGAGCTGGCCAAAATGCAGGCCACAGTCGATCGCCAGGCGGCCATCGCATCTAAACGTGTTGCAGAGGTGGAGCACCAAAGGGATGTTGCTGTCAATGAAGCCGCTTATTCTCGTGCCAAGTTGGCTGCTCATGGTGGAAGTCAAAGGGGCACCCCACAACCGGATGGAAATGCGCAGGAATCCGAAGATACGTCTGTGGAACGCGGCACAGATCTAACCCGAAGGCTAGCTTTGGCTCTCGCGTCGCAGAATGAGCTCAAATCCAAGCTGGAAGTGATCACCACTGAACTTGATCAGGAAAAGAGAGGCCGTGAGCTTGCGGAGGAGACATGTGAAGCCACCCGGAGACGACTGGCCGAACTAGAAATGCACAACAGTAAACTAGAGGCTGAAAGTCTTAGGGCGGAGCTTCATCAACTGGAGGCGTCGCTCAGGGAAGAAAGTCTGTTGCGATCGGAGGCTGATTCAGCAGTGAAGCAATTGTCCTTGGACAAAGAGGAACTTCTGCAGAAACTCGAGGACTCTTCCACCCGTCTTAGGGACTATGGCACTAACCTCGGCGGCCTGCGGGAGGCTGTTACCGCGTCATCTGAGAAGTCCCAACTTCTGGAGAGACAACTAGATGAGGAACGTGAGCGGCGTGAAGGTTTAGAAAGGAAGCTGTTGCAGTTGCGTTCGGAGCACGAAGAAAGGTCAGCAGAGTTAGAGAACGCCACACGTCGCTTGCGAGATGCCGAGGAGCTCATGCAGAGTCATTCGAGGGAAGCCGAGACCCATAAGAATGCGTTCTTGTTGGGTCTTGAGCGTGCGTCATCCTTCGATTCTGAAGCATCCTTGCGCTCCTTGTCCGATCAGCGGGTTTCTGCTTTGGAAGCTCAGATAGAGAGGGCCAACCAATTGGCAAAGACAAGTCAAGCTGCTGCAGATGAAGCAGCAGACAAACTCCGTCGTGCAGAGGAGAGGATTGCTGGACTGGAGGCGTATCAGGAACAGGCTAGTAGGGAGGGTTTGCAGCTTCGCAGGCAGCTGCAAACAGCTATGAAGGAAAGTCAGGGTCACTCTGCTGAGAACAGAGAATTGAAGTCACAGCTGGAGAACCACCAGCGCGAGGCCGGTGCTCTGGCTGTCCAGCATGCTGCCTTGAAGGACCTTCTGGGAGAGCGTGGGGTCAATTATGCCGATAGCCGACGCTCGCCCCTTGAGTCGCCTGGATCTCGTTTCGGAACTCCCGAGCAAGGTCGACTTCGCGAACTGGAACAACAGCTTTCCACCAGCTTGAAAGCCCACGAAGAATTGAAGTCCTCTTTCGAGACTCGTGAGCAGGAAGCCGACCGCGCATACAGAGAGAAGCTTGAGCAATTAGAAAATGACTACCAGTCGGCTGTTCATTACGTCAAGGGCACTGAAAAGATGCTGAAGCGCATGAAGGATGAGCTTGCTCGGTACAAGTCTCAGAACGGCAAGCTTCAGTCGGAGCTCGACGCGGCACAGACAGCTCTTGCTGAATCGTCTGGCAAGTCTTCGCAAGCTCCTGCTGACTGGGAGGTCGAACGCTCGAGACTCGAGCAGTCAATCTCCGATCTCCAGGAAGATACAGCAGCCTCCATCGCCAACCTTGAGAGTCAGGTTGCCAGGCTGAGAGCAGAGGCTGCAGCCGCCGAGGCTGACAAGACCAAATCGCAATCTGAACTCGCAAGTATCAAGCAGGAACTTGCTGCTGCGGCCGAGAAAAGCCGCTCTGAGCTGGAGCAGCTCAAGCAGGAGAACGCCTTGTTGGAGAATCGTGCGTCCGATGCCGAGCAGAAGGTTACCATGCTGCTTGACCAGGTTGAGGCGTCAGTCGGGCATTACCGTCGGCAGTCACAGCCTGTCCAAGGAATTAACGGCATCTCTCGCACCCACAGTAACGCCTCAAGCAACACTATCGGTGCGGGCCGTCGGTCCCGGGCTGATAGTGCCGTGTCTCAAGACGACGCTTTCCCTGACAACCGAAACTCGGTGGCGCTGGACTCGCTTGCAAACGAACTGGAAGCCTTGCGCACTCAGTGGGAGAGCAACAACCGTAACTATCGGTTGAGTACGCAGTCCGACTTTGATCGAACCCCAACCAGGGAGACGGGGCTGAGCGACAGTCTAGCCGAGTGGAGGCGCCGTCTGGATGACGAGGAGACCAGCTCCACAGAGAAGATCGAGCCTCGCCACTCCGGTACGAATCATGTAACAGCAAGCATGTCCTAAACACGACATGACTGTCTCCGATTATGATGAGAGATCAAATGTGTCTGTGTGTATGTGTGTGGTATCTGTCACGAGTCAGCTGATTGATTGATGGCTAGTGGCTACAAGCATTTTTCCTTGCCTTTCAATAAGCCTCAACCTTTGTTATTTATTCAACTCTCACCACCCCATTTCCCCCTTTCGTTCTTGTTTCCCTTTTATACCCCATCCACCTTTTTTATTCATTTCATTTCATTACCTTTCATCTATTTTCTTTTCTATTCTTTTCTTTTCTTTCTCAACCTTCCATACTTTGGACTGTACTACTACTACTCCTCCATTACTTTGTTTACTTTTTAACTTAACGAAGCCTCTGTCTGAATCTACCTTTCTGATTTTCTCACACCGAAACGACTTGGAAATCGTAAACCAACCCGTACTGTATTGCCCCCACCACTCAAGATAGATTTCATAGGTTAATAGTTACATAGAGATAGATATCCTTAGATCCTCATTGAACATATGGCTGGCGTACATGCCCACCTCTAATTACTCTTACTAAACTGCAGCAGCCAATAGTTAGTTAAAGTTAGAACATAGTAATTAGTCACTATGAGACTGGACATCGTCACAAGTATTGAGACGTGGACTACCTAAGGGAATGTATATGCCTAATTTGGTTTATGATGTGATCTCTCTTGTTATGTTGTAAAGTTACATAACGTGAGTAATGCGTACATAGAATACAAGATGTCATATGATGTGTTTAGGTGGTGGCTGTACCGGCCTTTGCATTACTCAATTGGGTATGGATAGGTGGCGAGCTGATCTTGGTCTGCTTATTGCTCAAGGCATCCTGCTTTGGAATGCAGGAAATGGAGGGGTAGGCATTATGCGGGCTTTATGGGACAGCTGTGGCGACTAACAGCAGAGTCAACTACGTCGAGACTCTTGTTCTACATCATTGTACCAGATTGCGAGATGTATAGTTCCCGATTGGGTAGCGAGTCAGTGGGAACCGGCTCAGTTGCGTGCTGCATAAAGCAACATTCTGCCCGGCTGATCCCACTGACTACCCCCTCTCAGTATGTAGATGACCGATGCTAACAATTGAGACGATACACAAGGAAAAACATGTGAAAGTGACAGGAATCGACGCAATACCACCCCGGAAGCGACCCTAGCCAGTTTCCGTCGCCACATACCCATTTGAGACGCGCTTTCTCCCCGCCCAAAGCACTACAGGCCGCCCTTGTTTTTGGCAAGGACAAGCGCAAAAGCACCTGGACATGTGGGAAAAAGAAGCACCTCCCCAACACCTCTCCACCAGTCGTTCCTTCATTCTCATCGTCCCCGTTTGTGCGTCAAGAGTAGGAAAAATATGACAGTCTGAAATGAGAAACATGCAAGCAGAAAAGAAATGAAATATCAAAGCAGGGGCATTGTAAGGAAATGGTCGCTAAGCATGATGAGGGACTCTCGCGACAGTTGCAGCGGTAGAGACATCT